TACCAGTTGGTCTGCCACATCTATGCAGTTTATTGCTTATATTTATATTTCCATAATGAGAATTCGCAAAAAAATATATGTCTTTTCCAAATTTCAAATTTCCCGCGTATTACCGTCAGGTCAGGTCAGTATCTAGAACAGCACAAAGATAACAACTGATGTCATGCGCTATTTCCCATACAAAATTGAAAAGACTCCGAAACTTTCGTTAATAATTCATTTGATTTTGTTTTATATATATATCATATTCTCGATTCATAAATAGTAACAAATGACATTTTGTAAGTAACTAATCAAGTGTCGTAAAACATTTTCCGATTTTATTGCGACCTATATCCGGCGCACGCACTCAACGGAAGCCCGCAGTAATCAGGTCAGAGTTATATTTGCGGTCCGGCATGTTGTTGATGTTGATCGTGCAACCGGAGAAGGTTGAATTGGTGAAAAATCCAGGCGTAAAATTGTTTGTTGATCTCACAGACACTTGAGACAGGCAGCTGGTGTTAGGGATCAAAGCAGAAGATACCGATAAGTTCGGTAGTGACACTGTTAAGTCGCTCGGAGGAGCAAAGACCAACTTCAGTTATTGTCTCATAAGATGAAGCTGCTATTGGCAGTATTTTAGTAGTAATATAGAAGGGCTTTGCCACACCAAATGTAAATATACGGAAATAGCATACATTGGGCCCAGTAGAAACATCTAGGCTATATGCAACGGAACTGTAAATATACATGAATGTGTGTATTTTACAATGTTATAAACAAAGCTATTTTAGACTTAACGCAGAGTACAACGAGGTCATTATAACTGGAATGTTTTCTTTATGATTTGTATAGCATACAAAACCGGCGAATAATCTGTTACGTTATGTACACAACAGTAATAGTCGACTCCTATGTTTGATAATGACAATACCGCTGATCCATGGCTGCATCTATATATAAGAGTACACTATACCTGTCAGTTGAAGAACAGCTCCACACTTCGTCAGTGTCACTGCTTCATCTCATCCATAAATCAGGTAATTCTAGTGGTAGTATGATCTGCGCCGGCGTAGAGATCCGTGTCCGTTGCTGTATACGTGTGTGTAAAACATTTGGTTGATCTGTCGGCTACATGTATAAGTGTATTCATTCGCCGTGACGATTATACACACACGTGTGGTTTTCTTCTGATACAACGTCTTCGTTCCGTACGGAAGTTTTGATTATTTCTCACAATGAGTATCGATCCTACCTTGAATAGGAATTGGATGTTGATGTTATTTAATGTTAATTAGTGTGTTACTGAAACCTTGTTGTTTACAAATGTATATTTTGTGCATTCCCGTGACTAGTATCACCACTGTATTAAGAAGTGTACGACACACTGTACATATTGTTTCAATGATAATAATTCATCTACTTAAGCAAATGGTTAAGATTTGAATCGCATACTTGACTTCGTTCAAAATAATATATGTAGACTGGGTGTATATTTATATCTTGGGTCACCCAATACATAGGCTTAGCCACAACTGAGTGAAAGAACGTATACCTGGTGTTGTGCATGCAGCTCGGTCTATGTGAACGACGCATGCGCAACCACTTCTCCTCACACCGCACACACACTTGTCCAGTAACTCCGAGCATTATACATGGTAGCCTGCCAAGGAATACCATCCGGCCGAGGCCCTGGTAAGACAGACTAACTACAAATTCCATAATTTATATATATAAAATATCTAACAACTTCTTGAATTCATAATGAACAAATGTATACAATGCTTGTCCATAATTAGATATAAGCGATAGTAGTTATTATTTTATTTATATTTATTTTACATGCTCTCTCTTCTGAGAGACATGAAATAAAGAATCGAGAACAATGAAGGAATTGTGTGGTTTATAAAACACACCCAAAGCCTTACAATGGCGCCCACGTAGGGACCCGGGAAAAATACTCGGCCTTGCTTCACAAGCATCGCTGTTACCCCTGGAAAACTCGAGGAAGAGTTTTTTCCGGGAAGGGGAGTGTGTAACACTGGTAAATACGAGCCGTAATATATCGCTCGGCTTGAGAGAACTTCTTTTTAGCTCGATCGGATGAGCGTAAGACTATTAAGCCAGAGGTCCCGGAGTCTCTGAGAAAGGTATAGCGACAGACCCTGAAAAGATGTCTGCCGTGAAAAATGGCCTCCACCTAAGAATGTGAAGGAATTACGCCAGTTTTTTTTTTAACATAGCTGTTAATAGGAAGTTAACAAAATTAAACAAAACAAAACCAAGCAATGGTTTAGAGAGAGAATTCAACATATCCCGTATGTTGCAACGGGGTAGCATATTTCTTTTGGTCACTTTTGTGTCTTTAAGTAGAGAGCACTGGAACAAGCCTCTAATTCTGCGGTGGGTTCCCCCATTGATTGTCTCTTACAACATGCAGTTAACATCATTCTTTTCTCGATCATCGACATTCAGGCGAGAGACGCTCAGATGAGTAAATAAAATCGGGACGGTACAAAAGTGCGACCTATTTTAATGTTCCGGAAAGCAAAGTCGGACACGCATCAGTTGAGCAAGCTCATTATTATTGACACACGTATACTGTAGACATCATGTACACTGAAAGACCGCCATTGTATTATGTGTTTGTCAGCTGGGACGTTTTATATCATCTTCAGTTATCAACATTTGACAAAGTTATTCGCTAGTAAACGTGTATGAATATGCAAACGAAACTGTGAACATTTGACGTAAATGTAGCAATACAACGGACGCTAACTATGTCATCAAACGACATTGTACATGAAATAACAAATAACACAAGTAAACCACATTTAGATCTGAAGGAACCAGAAGAAAGCTCCGGACATGACAACGTACGGAAATCCCTTGTTTGTCGACTACGAAAGGATATGGCCTTCAGGTATAAAATCAAACGGAGCGCTGCTGTAACGTGGTCTTTATTTCTGGTGGTAAGTATTGCGCCTTAAATGGATAAAACAAGGAAAGCAATTAAGTTTATTTGAGCAAAATAATAAACTTAATATCAAATATTACTAAGCATGAAATAGTACAAGATAAAACAAGGACAAAAACGGTCAATCGTAATATATGATGTAAATTAAAATTTCCTCGGACATCATAAATGAGAGAATTATACCAAGATATCAATTGTGCATGTCTTGTCTATCCTCAAAATGTTTTGAATGGATGAGGGGATTTATAGGATAAGCAGAAATGTAGGAATAATACGCATTTGTATTTGTCATTTCATAATATTTTTATCGTGATCCAATTTCCGGTTAAGTCATCTGTCCATACGTGTTTTGTACGCATATGTTTTATTTGAATGACACGTAATAATTGTTAAAAGTATACTAATTCATAACATAGCTGTTTGTTTGGCTACCGAATAAGTTGCACTTCAGAAGGGATATGTATGGAAAATCTGGATTGCATTTGGTGTTTGATAGTTGTGTCATGCATTGCCAACGTTTAAATTAAGCGATGGTATTCAAAAGTAAATGTTTACGCGATGCATATTTCTATAGCTTCCCATGACGGCCATAACAGAAGTAAGATTTTCATAGCAAGTAAATATTGATACCAATTGCAACCAGGTCTTCGTTCCTACAGCATCAGGACTGACTTCAGCCTGATCTCAGATCATCAGGGATGAGATCAGCTGTAACGAGTTTGTTTGTGTGTTAACGTCATCTTAGGTATATAAGGACGGGTGCCTAGTAAGACACCATATCAACAAAAAGTATATATCAAAAGGTTTGGTTTGATTTGATACTGTTTAACGTCCTATCAACAGCTGATGTCATTTAAGGACGTGCCTTTATGTGTGTTGTAAATGTGTATGTCTGCCGAAGACAGGATATATTGGTGTACTTGACTCCTTGTGATACCGCGGATCTGATGCCGACTTTACAGTGCTATCTCACTAAAATATTATCCCGAAGGCACGGCACCCAACACAGCATTCATTCCGGTCACATTATACTGACAACGGGTGAAACAGTTGTTGCCATAATTGCCGCCTTGTGATAGCGCGGATCTGATACTGACTATATGGTGCTATCTCACTGAAATATCATGCGAAGGCTTCCAGCACAGCAATCAATTATAATGACCAAGGGTGAACCAATTGTTGCCATTAACCTAAATGCAGAACACTAAGAAGTAAATGGCAATTACCAGTTTTAAGGACTTTGGTATGTCATGGCCTGGGTAAATAATCGCCGTTGCCAGTTTAATGTGACCGGAAGGAATGCTGTGCTGGGTGCCATAGTATTTCAGTGAGATAGCACTCTGAAGTCGGAATCAGATCCCCGCTATCACAAGGAGGCAAATACACCAACACCTGCCTCCGGCACACCTGCACGGGTACGCAACACACATGGAGGCACGTCTTGCAATAACCATAGCAGTTGACGTTAACCCTTAACAATCAAACAACCGTTCAAAACATCTATATACGGAATTGCAAAGTAAGAAAAAGTATTGATATTGTGATGTTACAATTGACAACACCAGATTATCTATGTCACACTACACCTTGCTCTCGGATTGTTCGGTTCCGTATGAAAAGCAAGTTATATTAGTTATAGTGAACAATATCGACTTCTTTCATTCCAATGTATAAATGGTTTGATACAAATGTAATAAACCACTTGTAATCTGCACTGATAATCTACACCTGTTGCATAGAATGCCTCTCACTTATTGATGCCGACGTGATATGTGCATTAAAATGGATGAATATTTATCGTTCAGCATGACCTTAATGTACTTTTCTAACCCTCAAATTTAACCCGTAAAAAGAGTCAATTTTTGTTTAATAATGAGCTACATCTGTTTGATATTTGATAAATTATTTATCTATACCGTTTTAGATACATACTTTGTGTGTAAGTTGGAAAATATTTTTCAGTTATGTTCTGTATATTGCATGCAACATTTGGTCAATTAAGTCGCTTTACATTATGCTAGGATCCCGGACATGTGGAAATACTAGGTAACAAAAAGACAAGCCGTCAACAAAATAAATGTTTTAAAAATCTTAATAGTTTCCCAGCTATAGAGAAAACCGAGTTATTGCAACAGCTGTTTCACCAGCTGATGTGCCGGGTGTCTGTGGCATGGTATATCAGTGAGGCAGCACTATAAAGCCGGCATCAGATCTGCATTATCAAATCACTAACAAATATAACTCCCTCATCAAATCCCGCCTTAATACCTCTCCATTATAAAATGTCAAAACATGGAACACCTACAGACGAAAGCGCAGGAAAAAGTACGAGAACATTTGTGTTAAAGGAAAGTTTCTCCATAGTGTGCAAGAACTGGATTCGGTTTCAAGAATGGACACCAAAAATCAAGGTTAATCAGCACTTGCATGACTAACCACTAACATCCAGTCCGGCGGAAGGGACTATAAACGGTATACCGTGTGGGAAGGTCCAACATGTACGTAAAAGACCCCTTTGTGTATTGTAAGAGTAGGCGCGTTACCACCGGCACAAAGGATAGGGAAAGGTTAGATTAAATTATTTTATTAAGTTGATTAGACGGACTTCCAAAATAGAGAACCAAATCAAAACGCAATAGAGTAGGATAGGGTCATAGGACAGCCTAGATATGGTAGGCATCCGCGCCGTACTAGACATCTCGATACGATACGGCTAGCGACAACACAACACATTCTAATACGAACCATTTGGACCAAGGAGTCGTCTCTCAAAGGTTCACTAAAACTATAAGGATAGGATATAGTATAGGCGACTCCCCACCACCCTGAGGGAAGGTAACTTCCCTCGCGCCGACAGAGCACCAACCTCCGTCAGTGAGACGAAACCCGCATGGGTGGAGTCATGTTGGCGATAAATTCGTCAACTAACCAACCGCAGCATGTCTACAATATATAGAGCAGCAACAGTCCGTTAAACAGCTACTCTTGTCTGCGTTTGTATGAAGCTATCACAAAATAGCTATACTATGTACATAACCTCGATCTGTGTATACCTAGAATATATATCTATTTACAAATGTATTAGGCTAAAGCAATCAGCTTTCTTTCTTACGATACTACCTGTCTCTATCTACCATATGCTTACACTGCCCAACTGTATATATCTGTATCAGTATCTATACATCTTTCCGTAGCTTCCAAAGCCTACGCATATCACCCGTCAATGTCAGAAGAAAACTGTCTATAGCAACCTCATGTCGTTAGATCTGTCCACATACATGTAGACATCCTCTGTCAATATTTCTTTCTATAACTATCATCCGTCTCTACATATGCATATATATGTCATCCCCTTTACATATGTCTATATCCATCATCCGTCTTTACATATGTCGATATCCATCATCCGTCTTTACATATTTCTGTAGCTATCATCAACAAGTAGAACAGACTGCAGAGAAAATTGTCCTCTTGCCACTGCACATAGGCCATACCTACATCACACATGTTCACTAAAAATAGTGCTTGACATGCTGTATAGGGTTTGCCGTCCTATCAAGAGCTAAGTTCATTTAAGGAAATGCCTCCATGTGTGTTGTGTTTGCGTGTATATGTGTATGTTTGCTGGAGACACGGTATGTGTTGTGTACTTGCCTCCTTGTGATATAGCACTGATTTGATGCCGACTTGAAAGTGATA